ACAGATTATTGAACACATTAGAAAAAAGACAGACAGAAAAGAAATGGAACACGGAGACAGAGATAATGATAACAATAGGTTAGCTCAGGCCGAGCTGGAGATACTGGAAGGATCCATTAGTCCAATCTGACTGATTCCTTTCTCCTTCACCTCCTCGTCTGCTAATCCTTCAAGAGAACAACAGATGGCTCAAGGCCAACAACACTGCAAACCTGCCTGCATGCTACACTCGCCTGTCCACTCAGGCTACACACAGACCCATATAAATATAACAATGTAAATTCACCTGGAGGTCTCCCCCCCTGCAGGAGACATCTGCAAAGTTAAACTAAAGTTTTATTCTTGAGAATCTGTATCACTTCAACCAAAGTTTCATGGGAACTACTCTGTGCTCCAATTTTACAGCAAGAGTAGTGGCCCCATTCTTCAGGATATTAAGTAAGACAAATGGAGAGAGTGCAATGTAAAATATCTGGTTCTACCTTTAGCATTATCTCAGTTTCAGGCCAAATGTGGGGCACTATCCTCTTTCCAAAAGTGACAGTGTCTGATATCTAATTGCGTACCTGCTGTGATACGTTATTAGACACCACCCCAGATATGCCTAGAGTAAATGCTATAACCTGATGGGAGCTACAAGAAAACATATTAAGTTCATCTCAGTCAAGCGTAATTCTTGCCACAATGGGTTTGATCTCAGCAGGCAGAAGCTGCACAAATAGTAATTTGCAGCCTAAAGATGAACAGGAAGCACTGACTGGTATTGCATTATTACAGAACACCACCCTAACTGCAGCACAAAAAGACTATAGTTAGAATGACCCAGCTATGCTACTCATGGGAAACAACTCTGTATTTCCACCTCCCACCTACTCTCCTCCAGTTTTACGCTCTGCTGTTCCTCTCTCCACCCTGCTGTTACTCACTTTGTGTGTGTGTGTGTGTGTGTGTGTGTGTGTGTGTGTGTGTGTGTGTTCAGTCTCTCCAGGTGTCTGAAAGTGTTTGAAATGATAGAAAACAGATGGAAAGAGACAGAGAGGCTTGATCACACTGATACTGAAATATTACTATGCATATTAAAGTAAAAACAGTCATTGATACAGGAGTCAGGAAAAGGAGAAAAGTGTTTGAAATATGATACTGCCAGGGTAATAGTTTCATTTCTATTTAATAGCTAAAAAGCTAAGTCATAAAAACAAAAAACTTTCCACTCACACAATGTTTCCTAACAGCTCCTTTACAAAGCGGACAAGGGTGAGACAGGAAGTGGGGTGGTACTCTAACAACCATACACGATTTGTGTATTCCCTCTGACCTGCCCGCACACTCCAGACACACCACATTATTATATAATGAGAACGGATTCAAGGAGTGGCCTTCAGCTCGGGGG